GGAGGCGCCCGTCCCCTGGCAGCGCTCCGGCGGCTAGAGCGGGGCCTGCGCCGCGGGAGCGCGCAGGAGCACCGCGGGAGCGCGCCCTCCGCTTCGCGCGGGCGGCGGCGCGGGGGCGGGGCCGCGCGGCTCCAGCCTCGCTCCCGATGGACGCGGGGCTGGGCTCGGGGAATGGCGGGGGGGGGGGGGCAGACGCGGGGGCGGCCAAGCGGCGCGGACCCGCGGACCCCCGTCCATCAGTCGCGAGGGTCGTGGCGCGCGGATGCCGCGCGACCTGCGCGGGCGAGCTGGGGGCGGGGGGCATGGCGCAGGGGGTCGAGGGGCGTCACGCAGGGCAGGATCGGGAGACCAACACACGCCAAAGATGGAACCCGGAGGCTCCTCTGCAGAGAAAGTCTTCGGTAGCGCCAGCAGCACCGCGCCCCCCTCCGCGCCCCAGCCCCCGCAGGGCAAAGGCCCCCCCTCCCCGCTTGCCCGGGATCTCACAACACAGAACAAGGCATCGCCGCTGCCCTGGGCCGGTCTCGATGCAGGGCAGTCCCCAGGGAAGGGAGGGTTGCGGGCGAGGGGCGGCACGGGGCCACCAGGGGGCAACCCCGGCAGGCGCCTTGCGTGTTGCCACGGCGGGGGCACCCCCTTGGAGCTGGGGCGGTGCCGGGTCGCGGTCAGGGGCCTCCCGCGACCCCGCAGAGGCTCTGCGGCCAGGCGGCTACAAGTCGATGGTTTCGCTGGCCACGCTGAGGGTGTCGCTCGCCCGCGCCTCCTGCCGGCCCACCGAGGCCGGGGAGCACTGCGAGACGGGGGTCAGCGCCCAGTACGGGCAGCCCTGAGCGGCCGGGGACTCCGGTGGGCTGGCGCAGGCCGTGGTGCCCGCGGAGCCGCCTTTCCCCGGGCTGGAGCAGAGCACCTGGGAGCCGCTGTCCGTGGAGAGTCCGCAGGGTGAACCAGCGCAGGGGCTGCCTCTCCAGGGCCCCGGGGAAGAGAGGGTGGTCGGGGGGCCGCTGGTCTCCCGGGAGGTCTCCCCCTCGGTCTGGGACCAGGCGGGGAGCAGCTCCATGCAGGAGGTCGTGCAGTACAGCCCGCTCTCCGGAGACTGCCTTCTGGCCGAGCTGAGCGCGGGGGGGCTGGGGGCGTAGAGGGCAGTGCTCCCCCGGAGGAGCCCCTCGCTGCACAGGGCCTCGTCGATGCTGCGCCGCAGGTCAATGGGCGAGGGGGGCTGGAAGTCGGCCGTGGGGTCGCCGGCCTCCAGGGCGATGCTGAGCAGGGACGGGGCCTTGGTGGAGGGGGCCCCGCAGGGCTGCCCGGGCTCCTCTTCGGCTGGCAGGGCGTAGAGCGGCAGGTAGTCCGCATCGCTGCAGGCAACGGTGTCACAGAGGACCAGCTTCTCGTGGCCCGAGAGGGCCCACTGGAAGTGGTTTGGCGGGGCCTGGGCCTGGGCCACCGCCTGTGCCGGGGCGAGGCAGGGCAGCCGGGCGCCACACGGGCAGCGGGCCCCGGGGGGCGCGCAGAAGACGGGGAGCAGGCCGAGGCAGGCCAGGGGCAGCCCCATTCCCGCCTCGCACAGCCGGCACGCCAGCTGCAGGGCCCACCACGGCCAGGGCCCGAGCAGCACGGGGCGCAGGCCGAAGCCCAGGGCGTGCAGGATGGCGTAGGTGTGGATGCCGGCGCTCAGCAGGCCGAAGAGGGCCGCGAGCAGGGCCATGCGCGCGGCCCGGCGCCACAGCTGCGCTTCGGCAAAGGGGCCGGGGCCGGCGGGGGGCGCGGGGCTCTTGAGGTCGTAGACCTGGGCCGCGTCCGCGCGGCTGAGGCAGCAGAGGGCCAGGCAGCAGGCGGAGAGCAGGGCGGCCAGAAGGGCGAAGAGGCCCCGGGCGGCCAGGAGCAGGAAGGGCAGCCGGTGCAGCAGGTCGGCGGCCAGCACGGCCCCCGCGGCCACGGAGAAGTGCAGCAGGAGCAGCGGGGCCAGCCAGCAGGGCTGCCGGGGGCCGGCGCGGGCGGAGAGCCCGGCCCGGGAGCGCAGCGAGAGCAGCAGGAGGGCGACGGCCAGGGCGGAGGTCAGGCTGGGCAGCGCCAGGTCCTGCAGCAGCCGCACGGCGAAGCCCGGCAGGCGCTCCAGCTGCCCGCAGGCGTCCCCGAAGAGCAGGGCGGCCCGCGTCCCGCCGGCCGCCGCCAGCAGCCCCTGCAGCCAGGCCAGGAGCCTGCAGCCGGCGGGGCAGCGGCAGCCCAGGCCCAGGAGGGCCAGCAGGGCCAGCAGGGCCAGGAGCGCGAAGAGGCAGCCGGCCCCGTAGATTTGGGCCTCCCAGGCCCGGCCCCACTCGGCCAGCGCCGCGTCCCAGTCGGAGTGCAGCGGCACCAGCAGCGGCAGGGCCGGCAGCAGCCGCGGGGTGAGCGGGGACGCGCCGGGCTCCGGCAACGGGGAGCTGCAGTCCTCAGCGTGCTCGGGCGGGCAGCCGGGCAGGGCCACGGAAGTGCCGCCCCCGCCTGGCGAGGGAGCGAGGCTGCTGGACTCCGGCCCTGGGGAGAGAGAAGAGGGTGGGGGTTAGTCAGTTGGCTGGCGACACGCGGTTTGCTGAGGGGCCGGCTGTGGCCCGGCCCCGTGGCCGGCGCCCTGGGCGGGGAACCGAGCACCTACTCGGGGAAGAGCCTGCGCTCGGCCATGCCCGGGGGGGGGGGCGGTGCGGCATTAGTGAGGGGCAGTCCCCTCCTGCCACGGTAGGCCACAGCTCCGCTCTCTCAAGGGGCCCAAGCAGAGCCAGGTGCTCAGTGTGGTGCAGAGGCCACTGGCTGGAGGGCCCCGGGGGCGGCGGCAGCGCCTGGCGTGCCTTTTCCACAGCCCTGGGAGGGGAGCACAAGCCAGACATATTTGGGGGCAGGGTGGGGTTAGGGGTTCACCGTACGAGCTGCCCGGGGTGGGCCAGTAGCGGGGTCTGCAGCTCCCCAGCTGGCTGTTCCCGCGTGCGCCGCTGTCATCCCCGCTTGCAGCCATTCTCCCCGCGTCTGCGGCCTCGTCTGCCTGCTTCCTCTTGCTGTTTTCACTAGCCCTAAACGAGTCCTTTGCTGAGGCGCCTCAGCCACGCAGGGCCGCATCGGGAGGGGGCCCCCCGGCTCTACACTCCCTTCGAGCTGGCTGCCTGAGGACGGCCTCGCTCGGCGCCCCCCTTTGCCCCCTCTGAACTGGGGGCTGGCAGTGGGGAGCACGTTGGGCTGTGCGCCCCCAGAGAAGATCCTGCCCGCATGGGCTCGGTTGGGCTGGGAGTGGCCCCTTCCCCCCCCCCGCCCACCAGCTGCAGCCAGTCCAGGCTGTCAGGTCACCTTGCCCTGGCGCAGATGCCGGGCGAAACGACAAGGGGGGGGTGGAAATGCTTGCGGCAGGAGCCCCCCCCCCGACTCCACCCTTGCCACTGCAGCAGGGCTGTGCTGCAGCGGGCTGGGGGCTCCCCGGAGGGACACGGCCCCATGCCAGGCGAGTGTGCGGCCCCGCACGGCGGGCTGCGCTCGGCACCACCCCTCAGCTCCAGGGAGGACAGGGCCCCTTGCTCATCTGGCAGGCCCCCCCAGGGAGTGCAGAGCCCTGTGTGGGCTCGGGGTGTGGGGGGGGGGCTTGCTGGCGCTGGCCGGATGATGCCTGCTCAGCACGAAGCGCCACCAGATCTTTTCGGTCCCAGCGACCCAGCACGCGACCAGGAGTGCTGGCTGGACGTCACAGTGCGCGGGTGGAGAGGGCAGAGCTGTTCCAGGGCCGGCAGGCTCTCCCTTCCGCTCCCCTCCCGGATCCTGGGCTGGGGAGCACAGGAAAGGTCTGGGCGTCCTCAACTCTGTAACCCAGGAGCCGCTTAAAACCCCCCGGAGGAGGACTGGAGGGGGACCCACTGGCGGCCCCCGCTGTCCCCTCTGAAGCTGCCCAGAGGGGGCTGGGATGAGCTTATCCACTGGCAGCTCTACTCGGGTGGCAAACGGGAGCAGGGCTGTCCTCCAGCCCTGGGCTGCTCCTCTTGCGGCTGCCCAGCCCCGGAGATCCTCTTGCCTAGAGGTGCAGCCTCAGTGCTTGCTTGCTTGCTTGCTTGCTTGCTTGCTTGCTTGCTTGCTTACTTGCTGCGAGGAGAGGAGGATTGTGAGCAAAGGCTGGAGCGGAGAAGCAGCCTCCCGCTGCCCGGCTGCAGGGCAACCAGCAGCCCCGAGCGGTCGCGTGGTGACGTGCCAGAACTGGAGGACGCCTCCCGGCACCGGCCCGGGTCCTGGCATTCTCGCCGCATTCTGCCTCTGAGCCAAACTGGCAGGGGCCACTGCAACCCCTGTGCCATTCGCCACCCGTCACAGTGGCATGAAGGAGTCCTGTGGGGAGTGGCAGGGACCCGGGTGTGTTTGGACACCCAGAGCCAAACATTCCGCCTCTCCTGGAGAAGACACTCCTGCCGCTGAGCTCAAAGGGGCTGCAGCTGCACCACGACCCACCCACACTGGCTGCACACAGCTCTGCTGGCTTCCAGAAGCCTCGTGGGTTGTGGAAAATTTGGGGCAAAAGGAGCTGCAGTGGGGTGGGAGCTGAAGGCTCCCTGCTCACCCCCCAGCACAGCCGCCTCTGGGGTGAGTGGCAGCACCCCGGTGGCCTGCAAGCACTTTGGGCCGGGGTGGCCACTGACTGCGCTCTGAGCAGCTGCCCAGGATGGGAGGAGGATGAGCCACGGAGTGCTGGGACCCGCAGGCCTTTTCACAGCCCTTGGGCCATGGCAGCAGCCCTGAGAAGAGAGTGCCTCTGTGCATGTGCAGAATCTCTCAGAAGACCAGAGCGCCAAGCAGTCTGCATCTCTTTCTTCCGACGCGGGCCTCAGAGGGCGCTGGCCGTGTGGACCGACGCAGTGCCACATCCGACGGGAGCACCTGCAGCAGCCACAGTGAAGCCAAAGAATTTTTATTCTCAAACGCGACCGACGCCGCTCTCCTTTCGGAGCGGAGCCCCTTTCCACATGGCGTGCCCCATCTCCGGGCCCGCGGCTCCCTCGCGCTCAGCGGCTGGTGACTGGCAGCGGCTTGACCAGGCAGCTCTCGATGTACTCGAAGATGGTGTACGGGTCCTGGTCGGCGTTGAGGCAGATGGCATCGCTGTAGTACTCCTCCAGCTCGGCCAACTGGCGGCCGTAGAAGTCCGCCTTCCCCTCCACGCACTGCGGAGCGTCCCGGGGGTTGCGGCGCAGGCGCTGGTGCACCGCCTCGTCGGTGGGGGGCCTGAAGACTGCGTGGTACCTCTCCCCCGAGACGGGGTCCGTGGCACGCTGGCAGACGCGCCCCATGGCCACGTCGGTGGGCACGCTGAGGAAGAAGACCCGGTTGGGCTCGTAGCCCGTGTGCCGGAGGATGTCGGCCTGGTCCATGTCGAGCGGGAAGCCGTGGAGCACCCAGCCGTGGGTCAGGCAGTCCTCCCGGGCCAGCCGCTCCTTGAGCACCCGCAGCACGATGCTGTCGCTCACCGGGAAGCCGCTCTCGAGGAAGGGCTTGATGAGGTCGCCCAGCGCCGTGCCCGCGCCCGCCTGCTCCTGCAGCAGGTCCCCGAAGAAGATGTTGACCAGGCCGTACTTCTGGTGCAGCAGGGCGGCCTGCAGGCTCTTGCCGCTGCCGGGCGGCCCCAGGAGCAGGACCCGCGGGACGAAGGGGGCGTCCGAGCGCGCGCGGCTCTGCACGAAGTTCAGGGCCTGGGCGAAGACGTCCACGCAGGGCTGGTCTGCGTCGATGAGCTTGTGGTTCTCCTCGTAGGTCCGCAGGATGCTGGGGAAGTTGCGGTGGCTGTCCAGCAGGCGCCTGGCGGTGGCCGGCACAGAGGTGCCCTCCGGCCGCACCAGGCGCTTCTGCACGGCGAAGTCGATGGGCCAGTCGAAGGTGGTGTGGTACACCTCCTGGGTGAAGGGGTCCACCCACTTGCCCAGGTTCCTCTCCACCAGCACCTCGTCCGGGGCGCGCAGCACAACCACGTGCCGGGGGGCGATGCCCGCGGCCTGCAGCCTCAGCGCCTGCTTCCGGGTCTCGGGGAAGCCGTCCAGCACCCAGCCCAGCTTCACGCAGTCCACGTCGCTCAGGCGCTCCTCCAGCAGCGAGGCCCACAGCTCGTCGGGGATCGGCTCCTCCCGGGCCTGCAGGGCCATGGCCTCGGTGGACCGTTTGAGCAGCTTGAGCGAGACGAGCTGCTGGGGGCAGAGGTAGACTGCGCTGAGGTGCTTGCAGAGCCAGCGGGCGATGGTGGTCTTCCCCGAGGCGGGGGGGCCCAGCACGAAGACCCTGGGCACCTCGTCGTTGTCCTTCTTCAGGTGCTCAATCATGAAGTCGACGGGCGCCTCCGGCCGGTGCACAAGGAGCACCTCCATCAGGCACTGCATGAGCTGGAAGATGTTGTGCCTCTCGGCGTACAGCACCATCGCCGGGGGGATGCGGTGGGGCTTGCTCGAAGCGTCCATCTCTCCTGGCCAGGCAGGTTCTCGGTGCTTCGGCGTTCCGGGGCTGGTTGCCTGGCGGCGCCGGGTGAGGTCACTATGCACAGAAGCCCCGCAGAATCCGTCCCCAGCTCTCCCTGCGGGGCAGCCAGGCCACCGTATCCCTGGCACAGGGCCTGAGAACGCGTGCCCTGGGTAGCTCTAACCACTCAGCAAAATGGCCATCTATCCGCAGGCTCCAGCTTTTCGCAGCGGGACTGCAAAGGGAGGCTGGGGGCCCATCCAAAGCCCCGTGGAGCACTGGATCCTGCTTCCGGCGCGTTCGTTCGGGAGGGGCATGGCGGGAGCCACACCTCTGCGGCTTGCTTTGGAGGCAGCAGCGGCAGCGCTGCACGGGTGCCGGGCATGCGGAGGCCCCCCCTTGCCCTTCTGTCTCGAGTCAGGCTGCTTTTCAGATAAGCTTGTTTTCTTGCATGCATGAAACCAACCTCTTGCTTACGAAACTGAAATGCTTCTGCCTGGACTTGAAGGGCTGAGCTTGGGGCACGCCTAGGGGCCGGCGAGGAGCTGGGGAAGCCCAGGAGGAGCTGCTTGAACAGCTGTGGGGGGGGGGGGACTGCGCGAAGGATGAGCCAGCCAGGCTGCAGGGAGGGGAGCCAAGGCCGGCCAAGGCCCACAGCTCCTGTGCCAACCCTGGGAGGACTCTGGCTCCCAGCAGCTCTGGAGGCTGGCTGTGTCTGCCCCACCCGAAAAACCTCTCTGGGGCAAGCGGGATGCGTTTCGCCACATGGGTGGCATCACCAGTTCTGGTCTGGGGTGAGCAGGCTCCTTCTGCAGGCCCACCTGTGGGAGCACCTGCGGAAGGTGCGTGTGCCGCCCACACCTGGGCCGTTCTCCCCACCGTGGCTGGTGGCAGCTCCTGGGGCAGACTGGGGTGGGGGGTGGCCCAGGCTCGGGGGACCTCTTCCCACTCAGCCTCTTGCGTCCTGGGGCACCCTCCCCCCGAAGCACCATCCTTGGCAGGCCCCTCGCGGCTGGCTCCCTGTGGGATCTTCAGCCCCACGCAGCGTGGCCCTTCTTGGCACCCCAGGGGCCCCCGGCTGGACTGACAGGCCTCCCTTGCTGAGGCCGAGGGCCCGTTCTGGCTCCCCACGCCATCCCTTTTGTTTTTCAAGCATCGCTCTGTCTGGCCTGACGGCTGGCTTTTGCAAGCCCCATTTTGACAGCTGCTGGCGGCTCCGTCAAAGTGCACTACAGCCCCTGGGAGGATCTGTCCAAGGTTGGAAAGCTCTCTCAGAAACAGAAAATGTACCCTCTGATCTGTGCCAATGAGTCCACACGACTGCAAGTGGTTTTCTCTTCTTGTGGGTGTGCACACCTCCTGAGGTCTGAAAAGGAGCAGCTTCACCGGGCAACGGCCAGGGCAGTCCTCGCAGGGGCCGCCCCGCCTCTGGGTTGGCTTGGCAGCCGGCCTTTGCCCGTGCCACACCAAGGCAGAAGGAAGCTCCCTGGAGCCTCCCCGGGGCCGCCCTGGCCACGCAGGGAAGCGCTCATGGAAGGACGAACACAGCACTTCCAGAGCGACGCACGCAGGGACTGGAGAGCTGGGGCAGGGGCTAGTCAAGCATTACGTTTGCAACTACGGACCACCCCTCCAAGGGGCTGTCAGGGGCTGTCCAAGGGCAGCTGGGAAAGCAGCCAAGCGGGGGGGTTTCCATTTGGGCGGTCTCAATTTAAACAAAGCCAAACAAACGGGGTGGGGGGAGCCGTGGCGCACCAACGGTGGCCCCCCACCGTCGCAGGCAGGGCAGCAAGCAAGGATAGCTGTCCCCACAAGCCCACCAGCCATGGCCCAGGCGAGCTTGCCCCTTTCCTGGCCCTTTCCTGCACCCACAAAAGGGGGGGGACAACTCATCCTGGTGAAGCCACCCCAGAACGAGTCTTGGCTTGTTGGTGAGGCGCATGTTCAGTCGTAAGCCCCCCGAGGGTCTGGGCTGGCAGAACGAGCTGCCCACATCGCAAGCCACGGCGGATTCTCGTGCTGCACAAGCCCAGTCAGTGGCAAGAAGAAAGAATTTCTCTTCCTTTGCCTCTATCATTTCTTCGCTCGTTCATGAATGGGAATTAAGCTTTAGCTGGGAAGAGAGGCGAGGTGAGGTGAGGCGGAGTGGAGCGCCCGGCGCATTCATGTTGCGACGCGACGGCCTCCCCTCTGGAGCTGCGCATTTCCTGCGGGAGCCCCTGCTCCGCTCCGGGAATTCCCAGCTTGCTCCCGCAGGGGCCAGCCGGGAACTTCGCCGCTCAGTGCCAGGCAGGCGAGCGAAGGGCTCCGGGGCCCTGAGGCCGCTTGCAGCTCGGCTCCGCGCTCGGCCAGCTGGGGATGTCCTGCCCGGCGAGGCTGTGGAGGACCCTGGCGGCGGGGCAAGAAGGCAGGCGGGGCAAAGGGCTGGAGATCAGCTCTCCAGACTGACCTTTCTCATGTGGCCTGGACCCCTCGAGACCCCCACCCAGAAGGAAGCACCATGAATGTGCGTGAGCATGAGCGAGAGGGGGCACCTCTTGGCCCGAGCAACCCGGGCATGCTGGGCCACCCGTCTCCTCAGTGGCTGCCTCATGGGGGGGTGGGGGGCAGCCCTCCGCAGCCCAGCTGGGCACCCAGGGAAGGCCCAACAGCCCCAGGCACGATCTCCAGGCCGGCTTCCTCCTCCTGCACGCCTCCGCCTGACCGGCCGAGCGGGCTCCCCCATGGGCCACCAAGCCCGGACCTCAGGTGAAGGGCAGTCGGGGCCCGGACCCCGGACCAGCCCCCTCCCAGGAAGGGGAAGGGGGAACCCGGGCGGCCCCACCGCCTCCGCCAGCACTCTCACCTGGCCTGGGGATCCACGCCGGGGTCGGGTGCCCGTCTCCAGGTTGCTCTCCGGTGCTGCCCGTGGCACCCCACTCTGGTGGCCCCTGCGGCCCCGGGGGCAACGTGGCTCCAAAGAGGCCTGAGCAAAAGAGCGACACACTGAAAGGGGCCCCGGCCAGCTCGTCCGGCCCTCTGCCAGCAGAGGGGCCGAGGCACACGCTCGCTCTCGCTGGGACAGGAATGCTGGCCAGGGGGCGCTCTGTGAGCCGTGCCGGTGCGTGACTGGTCGGCTGAGGAGCCCCCCGACCCCCAGTGCTCGGCCACCACCCCACCAGCCCCAGAGGCTGAGGAAGGGCCCCAGGCACTGCCTGCGGGGGGTTCGGTGTGGGGGGACCGCGCCCGGCCGCAGAGGCGCCCTCGGCCAGCCACAGCCGCAGCAGGTGTGCTGCCCACGCCACCCCTCGGACCGCCGGGCCAGCAGGCAGGACACCCGGCCAGCGGCCCCACTGCTGCGTGGGACAGGCACCGCCACGCGCGCCCGCCTGCTCCCCGGAGCGTGGCCTTGTGGGGCGGCCGTCTCCCATCCAAGCACGGCGGGCCCAGCATGGGGTGGTACCTCCCTGCACGGCACGCGCCCTGCTCACGGGCGGCCCGCTCTGGCCGCTTGGCCAGCTGCCGGAAGGGCCGCGAGGGCGAGCCAGGCCGAGGGGAGTGGCAGCAGCCCGGCAGCCGGCCGCCTGGCCCCGAGGGAAAGAACGGAGGCACCCCCCTCCCGGGCCTGGGCAGCCCCACGCCAGCCCCGGCTGCTCCGCGGGGCGGCAGGCAGGCACTCACCGGGAGGGGGCAGCTCGCCGGCGGCCCCCGAGAGGCCCACGCGGAGGCCAGGGAGCAGCGCGTACCGCTTGCCGGAGGGGGCGCCCCCGCTGCCGCGAGTGCCGTTCGCTGCCAGGCCGCTCTCCTTGCCCAGGCCAGCTGTCAGGTCGATGTCGATCTTGAACTCGAGCTCCTTGCTGTGCTCCCCGGGCGGGCCCCCCAGGGCCCCCTCGGCCAGCCTGGGCCAGAGCAGGAGCGGGGGCTGGGGGGCGCCCCCGGGGGTGGCCGGGAGGCCGGGGGTGGCATGTGCGGGGGAGCCCTCCCAGGCCCACCCCCCAGGGCCCGAGGGCAGCTCCTCGGCGGGGCCGGGGGCCGGCCACCCGGAGCCCCCCAGGGCCTCGGCCCAGAAGGGGCTGCCCAGTGCCTGGGAGTGGGTGGGGGCTGCCGGCCGGGTGGGGGGCTGGCCAGGCTTTGTGCTGGCTCCCCCGGGCCCCTCACCGGGCCGGCCCTTACCCTGGCTCCGCACCTTGATCTTGAAATTGAGTCCCAGGTTCAGGGACAGGGCGGGGGCTTCGCTGTGAGTGGGCAGCAGGGTGGGGGTCACTGGGGGGGCCGGAGACGTCCGGGGGGGCTGCGGCCCATGGCTGGCCGTGTTCCCGGCGTGCTCCAGGGGCCCGCGTGTGTGCAGGGGCACCCCAGAGCCCGGGGGCGGCAGGCTCAGCAGGGCCAGCAGCAGCCACATCGGCCCCGAGGCGCGACCCAGCGGCTCCTCGGAGGAAGCACCTGTGGAGCAAAGGGCAGAGGGTCAGCAGGCGGCGCTGCGCCGGCGCATGGGCGGCCGCGGGGCTTTCCCGAGCACCTGGGCCAGGCCACGCGCCAAGCCGTCACCGCACCCCTGCTCTGAGAACGACGAGGGCGATTCCCCGGGTCCGGCGCGAAAGGGGGTCCCTGCCATCCTGCCCGTCCATTGCAGCGGCCGCCATCCCCCCTCCCTCGTGGGGCCACGGAGCCGGTTCGGCAGCAGGCGCAGAGCTGGCGTGCGGCTTACGGAGAGGGGCTGAGGCTCTTCCTGTGGGACCCTCCACCTCTCCCCCGCAATCCAAGGGCAAACTGGGGCGCTCAGTCGCAGGTTCCCTGCCACTGCTCCCGATCCGCCGCGTGGGGCTCGCCCCTTCCCCCCGCAGCCACCCCAGCGCCCGCCCAGCCTCACAACCAGCCCGGCCCTGGGCAGCTCCAGCGGACTGAGCCCTGGGCCCCGCCTGCCGTGCGGGGGCTTGTGAGCCCCTCCCAGTGCATCCCTGCTTGTCACCCTCGAGGGGCGGAGTGGGCCCACCAGGCAAGAGGCCCCACTCCCAAACAGAGG